GGCTAGAAGGAGGAACGCAGAAGTTTTTAAGAGAACGGTTTATTTTTGACAGTTATTTATGAGACATGTGGACATAAAGGGATTCTGATGAAATGTCCCAGTGGAGGTTCTGTACAGACACACTGCTCCACCTCGATCCCAGCTCCTCAGAAACCACCAGGGGTCATATCAAAACACCGGCTCCTCTTCTTTTATTTTCCTTGACCTCATGTGTGCCAGTGTGGTGCTCTGCTGTCTATTCTGGTGTGTGGGAGAGCTCAGCGAGGTCTCCGTCTGACCCCACATTCCTGCCCTCCTCGTGGCACGAGGTCGCTGCCCCCCGTGACCCACGGCTCGCAAGAAATATGTACGTTTTCTGCTTAATTTCACTCTGGTGGTTAATTATTTTCAACAACTCTCCGGGGTGCACTCTGTCTTCGGCTGCCCTTTAACCGAACAAACCGGCCGTGATCCGTCTCACAACAAACAAGTCGTTCCATATAATTCACAGACGTTTTTACATGTTGTGTGCGTGATGAAGGTAGCCATAAAAATAAGAGTGTTTTCAGGGCTCGGCTGCTCCTCGTTGCTCCTCGGTGAGGCCTCGGTTTACATAATGCGACCGACACACAGTCACAGACATCAAAGGTCACCGTCAGCAGCTAACTTTCTCTCTGACTATTTCCAGTAACAATCCTAACCTTTGTGAGGAGCTGCTCCTCTGGGACACACTGGCTGATTCTCTGCAGCCGTAAACAAAAGCAACAATGTGAGCCTCCCGATGTGTTTACTTCCTCGGCTTTCTCTGCCCCACAGAGCCGCCACAGAGCCCGGCTCTCTGTCCGCTGCCTTCATGAACGTTCCTATTCTGTGGGCCGAGGGGGGCAGGACTGTTGGTGCTGGGCAGATCTGGTCCCACCAGGCCTCACAAAGGATGAGCTGTGCTGTTATATCAACATTTAGCTCGCTCTCGCCTCCCCCCCTCTTCCCTCTTTAATCACATCCCTCCGGGCCAATCAGGGCGACCCGGGTTGTCTTTGTCTGTGTGAGATATCACCGGTTCTGTGCTGCAGGCCGACGTGTGCCGTGACTCACTCGGACTCTGTTATGTCAGCAGAGCCGAGCCGTGGCCCCTGTTCCAGGCTTCCAGGCCAGACTCCCCATTTTTATACGTGTCCTTCTCAAGCTGCTCATTCATGAGATACAGATCAGATATCTCACCCGCACACGGCCAGCAGCACATTCTGAGCCTATATTTTGCCCTCGCCCTGTGACTGATAGGCAGTTGTTTGCAGTCCGGTCTATTTCCGAGCCGGGATCCCGTCTGCTCGGGTTGAAGGTGCAGCAGACGTCTGAAAGCTGAATTCCTGCCTGGACCTGTGAGACCAGCAGGACGGGATCAGTCCTGGTTCATATTAGTTTTCACTGGGAGACTGTTGGACCGTTGCTCAGTGGATCATTGTTAAAGCATCTCGCTGTGGACGGGCGCCACTGCTGCAGCCCTCCTGTTTAGTCCGAAGCTGAACTTTGTGCAGATGTTGAGCGTCGCCGCGGTCGAGGGCACGCTAGAGTAAATGCCGTACATGTCCGCTGCTCTTTACTGCTGCTCGCTGCTCGGCTTTCACGCCGCGTCATGCAGCTTTGTTTCAAGGCTGAGTGGGATTTGGAACAACAGACTTGTTGACTTTAGCTCGGAGGACTTCCTCTCCCAGCGGCCTGCGTTTGTGTTTGCTGGTGTGGGCTTTGTCTTTTTTCATCTGGTCTCGAGGACACAGCATATCTGATGTTGCTTAGAGAGCTTTGTGCATGAAACTTTAGCTTAATGTCCTGTAAGTGGCCTATAAACATGTTTATTGTTGGATAAACGCCTCTGTCACATTTCTGCTCTCTGTGGGATCATTTTAGCATGAAGTCCTGCACCTCCATGGAAACAGCAGAACCGCTGCTAGGAGTGGAGAGGACTCAGAAAGGTCTCCTGTGCAGCGCGACTCATCATCCTGCCATAAATCATAAAATATAAAAACCTCAGTTTAAATTCTCTGATTATTTATTTTACAAAAATCAGGAGGAAAAAAACCCAGAATCACCACATCCAGTATTTTTCTAAGTGCCTGCAGGTGTTCCAGGACTAGGAAAGAAACTCGCATCTGCATAATGTTCCTTTGCTTACTTTTACTTTTCATTTGACTACTTAGATTTTTAATTTGTTCCATAAGCACAGCCCGGCTCAGCTCAGCCCGGTTTAGGAGCTCCTGTTTTTGTGCCACATGACTTTTGCTTGCAGCTGAATAACTCGTGACTTCTCAGTTTTACTCATAAGTCTCAAATTTTTTTTTGCTTTTGACAGAATCTGCTTTATTTCTGGTGTGTTTTTAAACAGCATGAAGGGATTTTGATGAAGGATTTCTAGATTAGAACTGGTTGAGTTTCCTGCTGGCAGCAAATAAACGCCATGACGTGGATTTTTCTCTCAACTTGTTTTCTGTCAGAAATCGTGGAATTTAGTGGATGTCCAGAGCGAGGAGGCGCCTGGTTGTAGTTAATGACGCTGTTCTGACTTTGAATCACATAAATTTTGATAGATGTGACGTATGTTGTGTCTGTCAGAGCCGAGCTGACAGCCGTAGAGCAGCGTTTGCTTTTGGATCACGTTACTGAAGCCGTGTGCATGTACGGCATGTTTGATTTGACGGTGTTGATTTTATTTGTCACTACTTACTTTCAAGCTCGTTTAAAAATACTGTCTGAGAGCGTAGCGGGTCCAGGAGTGGGTGGGTCCTACAGCTCCGCTCCAGAGCATTTTGACTGTTTTATGCGAGACGTGGCACCGCCGGCTGTAGGCAGGACTTTGATGGTGGACCGGTACGGTGCGTGTAGCGTCTTAGCTTTCAGCGGTTTGATTTAACCGCCGTACTCTATAACATGTGACAGCTCAGTCAGCACAAGTGATGCCGTGCAGGAGGCTCAGAATATATGACTTCAGATTACGCTGTTGTTTTTAGAGGTTTCTCTGGAATCTGTCTGTTGTCACAGATGTGCTCCGTCTTCTAGAAGAAGGAGCAAACAT